ATGAAATTCAATGCCAACTTCGTTCCCATTTCGACAGAAGAATGAGGGAAAAATGTCAAATCTTTATACATTTCAAACCCTAGAAAAAGAGGCTACTTAAATTAAAACATTTTACTTAAATTATCAGTCATATTTAATACATACACAACAGCACTGTAGCGCACGTGTGTGTAGGCCAGTGTTAATTTTGGCAGCCATTTTTTATTTTGTCTTAGTCTTCAAACGAAAATGCTTATTGGTCTTAATCCCACTTGAGTCATCCTGTTTTTTACAGTTGTAGTTGACGAAAAGTCTTAGCATTTTTTTGTCAACTTTTAGTCAAACTGCAGTTACTTTACTTTTGGTAGTTATTTATTTTATATGTAGTATTTAGACAGAAAATGTCATAATTATTGTCTCTAGGCCAATTCAATTAAGCATATGATAAATTATTGAGATTGCACTCTTTAGCAGTAGCACTTGTGCAGTTATACATAATTATCCCTTTTCCTAAGTTCAGTGGTTCTCCAATGTTTTAGAGTGCCGTACCCCCTGTAGCCCTCTCTCTTCCACTTATACTGCACTCACACCTTTTCCATTAAACAACCCAGACAATGGCAGTTTTCTTAAAGAGGTGGAGCTAATGGCCAAATTTGACCCAATAATGAAGCAGCATGTTGGTAGGGTGGAAAGTGGAGCTGGAAGTCACACACATTACCTGGGCAAAAGAATCCAAAATGAACTCATAGACTCAATAAGCACAAAAATACTGGAAAAAATATTGGAAGAGATCAAGACGTCAAAGTATTTCTCCATCATTTTAGATTGCACCCCTGATCTGAGTCATAAAGAACAGCTCTCTGTGATTTTCAGGATTGTTTCACTGGAAGAAGAATTGCCACAAATTAAAGAACATTTCATGGGCTTTCTTGTGGCAGAGGAGTCAACCGGGGAAAGTTTGTCTGCTCTCATCCTCAAAAGACTAGAGGAGCTGAACATCCCCTTTGAGGACTGCAGAGGACAATCCTACGATAATGGTGCCAACATGAAGGGAAAGAATAAAGGTGTTCAGGCTAGGCTGCTTCAACTGAACTCAAGGGCCTTTTTAGTCCCATGTGGTGCCCATTCCTTAAATTTGGTGGTAGCTGATGCTGCTAAGAGCTCTCCAGATGCCATTGGCTACTTTGGCTATGTAGCAAAATTGTTTAAACTCTTCTCAGACTCCACCCATAGATGGGATATCATGCTGAAACACGTCAAAACCACCCTGAAATCATGGTCAGAGACCAGGTGGGAAAGCAGGATAGACAGCATCCAGGCAGTAAGGTACCAGGGCTGGGCCAGTCAGAGATGCTCTTCTGGAGGTGAGGGAAACTAGACCCTGTTGTGAAAGTTGATGCCCAGTCTTTGGCTGAGGAGATTGGATCCTACCGCTTCTCTATTTGCACAGTCATTTGGTATGATATTCTCAACAAGATCCAGCATGTGAGTAAACAGATGCAATCACCATCCATGTAGCTAGATGTGGCAGTTGACATGCTGAAAAAACAATCTCTTGACGGCTACAGAAATACTGGATTTTCTAGTGCACAGGCAACAGCAAAGGAAATGTGTGAGGAGATGAACGTGGAAGCTGTAATCAAACAAAAGCGGTTGAGAACCACAAAAAGGCACTTTGGTTACGAGGCTCCAGATGAGCCTATTGGTGAAGCACTTAAAAAATTGGAAACAAATTTTCTTAATGTAGTCGTGGATACAAACCAGAGATTTCAGACCCTGGGGGAGGTGAATGACAAATTTGGAGTTCTCCTCAACTTTCCCAACATGTCCAAAGAAGAGTTGTTAGAGCACTGTCAAACCCTGAGCACAGCTTTAAGCCATGATGGACAGCCAGACATTGATGGCAGAGAACTTGTATCAGAAATGCTAAACTTTCCACATCTGCCATCAAAAAATATGACAAACATTGAGCTCCTGACTTTCCTGCATGAGAAGAAGCTGATGGAAATTTTCCCCAATATGTGGGTCGCTCTGAGAATCTCTGCCACTCTACCTGTGACAGTCGCTGCTGCTGAAAGGAGCTTCTCTAAGCTCAAACTGATTAAAAAATACCTGAGATCTACAATGGCTCAAGAACGTCTCAGTGGACTTTCAGTCATTAGCATAAATCATGTGGTCTCACAACAGCTGTCTTATGATATCATAGATGACTTTGCGGCTAGAAAGGCAAGGAGAGTAAGGCTGTAGAACATTTGCTATACATTTTGCATAGTGCATTCAAGTTTGTGTATAGTTATTTACTTTTTGTGCAATGCTCTTATTTATAATTTTTGGAATGTTACATATGCTGTAAGAAAGGCAAGGAAAGTAAAGGAAAGCAATGTTTCTGTAATATAGTTTTTTCTGCAATAACATAATATAATACAAACATATTTATATTGTATCTATAATACGTTGTGTGTCTGTGTGTGTGTGTGTGTGTGTTTCCAAAATATTTTCAAAATAAAGAAAAACAAGACAAAGCTGCACAGTTTGTTTCTGTGTAAGTTTATGAAAAAAATTCCAGGGGCACCAGGTGAAATCATGCCTAGGGCAGCAAATTAGCCAAAGGTGAATTACAGCAGAACAGCATGAATTGTGAGCCCAGCAGTGCAGCAAGCATTTAAGCACCAACAGCAGTGCAGAGCCGGAAGAACAAAAAAAGCAGACACTGAATGTACATGAAGAAGATATAGGTTCAGAAATACAGATGAGATGAAATCAAACTGAACAGAAGGTCTGATGAGAACGAACACAGAATAAAGTAATAAAAAAAAACATGTTTATTTCTAATCCAAGAGTAAGAAAGATTAGTACAGCTCTTACATGGATAATAAAGAAATTGAAAAGACAACTTTATACATAATTTTAAAGTTGCCACACACAGGACTCAAACCCACTATCAATGGGTCAAGTGCATGTCACTCATTTTTTTTTTTTTTTTTTTAGTAAACTATATAAAGCTTACAGCACCTGGTATTCCCAGGCAGTCTCCCATCCAAGTACTAACCAGGCCCGACCTTGCTTAGTCTCCGAGATCAGATGAGTTTGGGCGTTCTTTTTTTAATTTTTTTTTTTATTAAAAATAATACATCATTTACAGGAATATTGTCACAGTCCTCCGTCTGCACCGGTCTGTCTTGTCTTCAGCACTGCACTTCCCATGATCCTCTCGTCTGCACACCTGAACTCACTCCCTCATCAGCCTCCCGTTCAGCGTCCTGTTCATCTGTTACACCTGTTTTCCACCTTGTTATGTTTGATTCCCCTGTGTATTTAGTTCCCTCAGTTTCCTTCAGTCTTGGTCGGTCGATGTAAGTGTTTGCTGTGTTTTGTGGATTCCCTACCCGCCTTCCTGTATGTACCAGTTCCTTGGAGTTTCTTTATTAAATGTTTGAATTGGAGCACTCTCTCCCGGACTCCTTCTTCAACCCGCACTAAACCGTGACAGATCGACCGACCATAAACACTCTTCACACCACCAGGGGTAAGTAATGGAGAGGTTGCTTATCTGGAATTCACACGACAGTTCCTATTCGGACAGCTAGGGGTAAGTAATGGAGAGGTTGCTTATCTGGAATTCACACGACAGTTCCTCTTCGGACAGCCAGGGGTAAGTAATGGAGCGGTTGCTTATCTGGAATTCACACGACAGTTCCTCTTCGGACAGCCAGGGGTAAGTAATGGAGCGGTTGCTTATCTGGAATTCACACGACAGTTCCTCTTCGGACAGCCAGGGGTAAGTAAGCAGGGACTTTCTTCAGTGTGGGAAGCTCAATGGGCAGATACTGGTTCTTAGCAGGGGCTTGCTTCAGTGTGAGAAACTCAATGAGCAGATACTGGTCCTTCTTGAGAACAGGAGAATCAAACAGCAATGCATGAACATTTCAGGAATCCTCTTCAAGTCAACAGTACTCAAATACTCACAGCAGGGGCCTGCTTCGGTGTGAGAAACTCAATGAACGGATACTGGTTCTTCTTGAGAACTGGAGAATCAAACAACAATGCATGAACATTTCATGAATCCTCTTCAAGTCAACAGTATTCAAATACTCACAGCAGGGGCTTGCTTCAGTGTGAGAAACTCAATGAGCAGATACTTGTCCTTCTTTAGAACAGGAGAATTAAACAGCAATGCATGAACATTTCACGAATCCTCTTCAAGTCATCAGTATTCAAATACTCAGCAGCGGCTTGCTTCGGTGTGAGAAACTCAATGAGCAGATACTGCTTCTTCTTGAGAACAGGAGAATCAAATGGCAGTACATGAACACTTCACGAATCCTCTTCACACTGGACAGACTGGAGCTACAATCCTATACAGTGCATACTCAACACACAGCAAAGGGTTAATTCTGGGTCAGCACTCCAGGACAATGAGTGTAACGGCTGGGAACACGGACAGACACAGACAATCCTCACACCGGTGCATACGTCAATCACTTCAAATAGTAACGTGTGAATAAGGTCTCCACTCGTTATCCCAGCCATCTTCCTCCTCTTGTTTGATGAGGTAACATGAACCCTCTGCCTCACTTCTCTTTTAATCTTGTCTCTCTTTCCCCATCCAGGTTGAACTACCGTTTTTAGACTCCTTCTCTGCAGTGGATCGCCCCTTCCCGCTCTATCCTTCCAGCTCTGCATGCCTTCTCATAAGCAGTGTTATTCTGGTGAAGAACTATCTGTACTTGTTGAGTTAACATGGTTAAATCTGTTAGAGTGGAGCTTCCACTTTATAAGCTATAAGTGCAACAACATTCAGGGTGGGTTGAGTAAAAGTGACTACAAATGTGGTGTTGCTGACAGGTGTTTAAAAAGTGTTTTCTTTGTGCTTGGAAGGAAGTTTTGGATCACAAAATACTGTCAATAAACACCATTGCACTTTTGACACCAGTGACTGTTCTTACCAACATGCCTCATCACACTGCTTTACAGACACGCCTGTTTTGCACACGACACACTCAAACACAGAACCAGGAAACAGGAGTTCAGGGAAAATGAAACTAGTGTAGTTGAGCTGTTGTGTGTTTGTGTCTCTGTCTTCATGTTGTAAAATGGCAGAAGCCAAATTTTCTCAGGATGAGTTCATGTGTCCAGTGTGTCTGGATCTCCTGAAGGATCCAGTGGCCATTCCCTGTGGACACAGTTTCTGTAAGATCTGTATTAAAGGCTGCTGGGATCAGGAGGATGAGAAGAGAGTCTACAGCTGCCCTCAGTGCAGACAGACCGTCAGCCCAAGACCTGCTTTAGCTAAAAACACCATTCTGGCTGAAATGGTGGAGAAACTGAAGAAGACTGAACTTGCTGCTGACTGTTACGCTGGAGCTGGAGATGTGCAGTGTGACATCTGTACTGGAAGAAAACACAAAGCCGTCAAGTCCTGTCTGGTGTGTCTGAACTCTTACTGTCAGAATCACCTTGAACAACATGAGAGTTGGTTTAAAGGAAAGAGACACAATCTGACTGATGCCACTGGACGACTGCAGGAGATGATCTGCCAGAAACACGACAAGATCCTCGAGGTTTTCTGCCGCACTGATCAGAAGTGTATATGTGTGCTGTGTGTGATGGATGAACATAAAAACCACGACACTGTATCAGCTGCAGCACAGAGGACAGAGAAACAGGTATGAACTTACAGAGATCCAATTATTATCATTTACAGGCTCATAATGTTGTTTATTAGCCTGACTTCGTCATACTCATATTCTAGTGAGAATATGAGTCTGAAACTCCTCCGTAGGGCTTTGATTATGAGGCGTGTCGTAAGCCAACCAGGAAAAAAAAACCTCTACACTCAATTGGATAGTCGGTAGACCTACAACCAATCAGAGCAACGCAGTAAGTCAACTTCTTTGCATAGCGCAGTTTTCAACTACAGAACTTCGTTATTTTAGAAGTTAAATAACGAGTGTTGCTTCTTTTACTTACTCCTCCATGAGTGCCACCAAAGGAGAAACCACAACGACCACAGGCTTTTCATTACGTCCCATCTTCTTAACGACCGTCAGAGCCAGCTGATAAGTTACACTTTTCCCGAATCATGTAGGAAGGACGGCAAAAATATCTTTCCGATCGACAAATGCCTTGATTGCAGTTCTCTGTTTGTCTATTAAAATGAATGCGCTGTCGATTTATTTTACAACAGACGCGACAGCGGAATCTATACATCTCAATTCTCCAGCTGCAGTCATCTTTGAGGGAGACCAGTTAAGCGCTCTTTGATAACGTGATGATTATGTCCTTGCAGATCATCTGTCCATCATCTTATAAAGTCCTCCATGGCAATTTGATTGGCCTAAACGTTTCTTGTCTGATCATAATTACTCCTCAATGGATCGAGTCCAGACCGAACTTCCCGACCAAAAAATGTTGTAGGCGGAGTTCGGGCTGGCATCCAGGCTAGTTGTTTATGGTAAAGCTTCACAATCTTTTTTAACCCTCAATCTTTTTTCACCATCTTTTTTCTCAGCTAAGTACCCCCTGACCGGCCCCAATCATTTGAGAAAGAAATAAAAGCTATGACTATGATATAGGGATGTGCCATCATTATGAGATTTATTAAACGTAAATGAAAAACATTTGCAATAATATGTATCATTACTGATAACTGATCATGCAGTTTAAGTACCCCTTGACTGGCCCCAAACATGTTTGATAAAAGAAACCAATATAAATAATATATATAAAGGCAACCAAAATATTTGCTGCCTTTTGCCACTAAGAGGCGCTACAATCACAGACTTTGAAAAGTGTCCGTTTATTGCATAATCTGCAGCCGCGCCGCGGCTCATTCAGAGCGATTGAAAGCTGATAGCAAATTAATTCAAGTGAAACGTTGCTAAATGAATTAATAATCACAATACTGAAATTAAATTTAATAAATAATGAAAACTTAAAACATTGCAGTGGAAACATAGGCTACATCAATGAGGCTTTACAAGTGTATAAGACGATAATGCATCAGCAGTCTAATGGTAGCTAGTAATGGTAGCTAATGGTAGGTTAATGCATCAACCTCAACTTCATGGAGCTTCAACCGACCCGAGATTGAACCTCATTACATGCTGTTGGCCGACAGCTTTTATGTTTTACCGTTCTTGAAGCTTAAATAAGTAACTGTTTATTAGTGAGTTTATTAACTGTATTAGCAAGTTTTATTAAGTGTCTGTTAATGGCGTAATTTGCCACTGCTCATTGAGAGCTGAGGTCGCAGATAAATTCAGGTTAAACATTGTAGTTAAACGAATTCATAATCACAATACTGAAAAAAGTAAATTCAAATAAAATAAATGTGAAGTAAAAATAGGCCTCTATTATCCCATCAAATTTAAGCAAGGTACACTTTAACATTAGGCTATGTGCACAGTTTTTCTATAATTTAGAAAGGCTTTGTCAAAAGCCTTTCTTTTACTTTGTGTTATTTAAATTTGTTAGTAGATTTATTAACTGAAACATAAGTGTAATAAATTAAACCCAATAATTTAAACATTAAAACATTTTCAGGGCTTGCAGTTACGAAGTGATGTTACTCGGCAGCATTTGTGTTTAAGCATTCTTTGTCATATTAAGAATTAAATAGGCTGTTTCAGTTGGTGTCAACCAAAATGCCTACTTGCATTAAAAACCAGTCGCATTAAAGTCGTTCGGGACATTGTCAAAGGGACATTGTAACAGCAATGTAAGGAAGGACTTTCCTAAGACTGAATTTAAGAATTCAAAACTGCAGTAAAACAATAAAAACTCACTAATCTGTAAAAGAGATCAAAGGGACAGAGGGCACCACACAACTGGCCCAACCTGATATCTTCCCCCCATGTTGTGGTTCTTGACTCTGCACAATATCTTCTCTCCTCCACGGCTCATTCAGGCATGCAAATCTCACAAACCTCCTGCCTCCAGCTGTGTTATGCAAGGGCGAAATAAATACTTCTGGCGCGAGACCAAATTGTTTCATTCCTGCAGCAGCAGAACAGGCAGAACAAGAAAACAACGCCTGTTCTTCTGTTGTGGGAGATGCCCCAATAAAGATTGTGGATAACCATTGGCTTAATCCCCCAAGCTCAGGCACAACCACTTTGGTCACGAGAAAGGGTAAAACAAAGGCTGAATAAAGATTTGGGTGATAGGTGTGTATTGTTCTTTTGTTTGTGAATCTAAGGTTTTCCCTTTTCATGTTTGGTATCATTTTAAGTGTGATTGGTAAAATGGTCTCAATTTCATTACAGTCATTGGAAATAGGAGAAAGATTGAGAACTTAGGAGAATCCTGTTCTTCTCCATGGGTGATGTCTTTTCAAAATATCTCCCCTCTCCCCCGGGGTATAGGAATTGACCAAAAACAAACTCTGAAAGCGATTGGTACAACCCTTTTGTTCTGGTCTGGGTATTTAAGGCTAGGTAACAGAGCAGTCTTCGGGAACCTGTAACCAGGAAAACCCCCATGCAGTGCTGTGTCCGTGTTTTCCCAGTGGAAAGGAATGCATTGCTTACTTTTAGAATCATCTTTGAGTAATTGATGTCATGTATTTACTATTTCTGAATTGCTTGGGTAATAGGCATGATACATTTTTTCAATACAAATAAATGTTACATCTTGATTTACTCTGGAGTATTCTGACGTCATTATTTTAGTAAATTATAGGAGGCTGGTGCTACCGCAAATCTTGCAGGATAGGTCAAACTAAAGGCACAGATGTGAATGGAGCACTAGGCACGTCCTCTGAAGACCTTTTGATTTCTGTCTATCACTGATTTAGCAAGTTGTATGGAAGTGGCTAAAATAAACTACATTCTTTGTACGTGTGAGCAGTAGGCAACCGACTTAAGAAGTATTAGTTCACCCTGCACCCTCTGACTAAATACAGAACCGACAAGGTTTGTGTCCGTGAGAAACACGATCCGGCCGACGTGATCTCTGTGCGGCATCGGGTCCATAATGAACGAATAATTGAAAGTGTAAGAAACACAGACAAATCAAATATCTAAATTAAACTATAATCAATAGTTATGATTATTTTCTAATAAGAAACACAATCTAAACTTGATCATCAGTAAAAATTGGAGTCAGATTGAGCGTCAATCCCCATCTCATGCACCAGCACCATAAAGACTCACCCATTCACTTCCTCAGTGTCTGGTCTCGTCGACACTACCAACCTCAGACTCCCACCATTGGCTAAACCTATTACCCGTTACCTACCTGATTCCAGTCCGTCTTCAGATCCTTCGTCTTCCTGCTATCCAGTCCTGTTCCCGTTCTTCAGTGTTCCGTCTGCCATCAGCCTACCGATCCTATTCATCCTGCATCAGATAAGAGACCCTAATTACAGACTGTTTCCAGATACCTTCAATACTCTTCAACCCATTTACTCACCTGCCATTCTCCATTGTTCACATTTGCAATAAACCTGTTCAACTCACCAGTCTTTGTCCTCTGATCCCTGACAACGGGTCTGTAATCTGTACTCACGGATTTGTGGCTCGTCCCCCAGAGTGTGCCACATGATTCAACCAGGCCTCCTGTTTAGATGCGGGATGCATTGCATTGTTTTTAAAATCCTTTTTTAAAATTTCTTCCATTTTCTCCACAAAAAAAGAACAAAGCAATTCGCCAAATGTCAGTCTTTGACAATAATAATGGGCTAAGATTATAACAAACAAACACAGGTTTTTGATGCATATCCAACTGTTGGATATGCATGTCACTGAGCCGCGGCCGCAAACACTTGCATGTTCCTATCAACAGTGGAACAACTTAAAACAATCTAGCATTTCTGGTCATACAGAAAAAAATACATTATACATAATACATTATTTGCAACTACTTTTATTTGTGTAAACTCACAATAACAAGAAAACGTTGTGTATTTGTAAAAAAAAATAAAACAATCAGGCGCGCTTTCGTGATCTCCGGAGCGTGTCTCATAAATGAGCTTAAACAAAAGCCTATCTAAAGCTTGAAATGTCCACTTTTAAACGAACAAATTCGAATCGAAAGCAAATACCGTCTGATTATACAATCCGAAAGGTGCATTTCTCTCTGTTGCATCCGCTTTACAGCAGAGATGGAGATATGTTTAGCCCGTCACTAGAAAACTGTTTATTTAAACAATAAAAATTCATTGTTATTTTTCAGACACATTTATTATGATTAGCCTATAAATCACCTATAAATCATGTCTCTCATGGTTCCAGAGACATGCTCTTCTCATTTAGCACTGCGGTCAAAATATAGTTTTTGTTCTAATTTGATTTTAGAAAGTAAAATGAATTTTTTTTCCATACTAATTTCATTTGCGAATATTTTAAATGTTTAATAAAGGCAAAAAGTCAATGTTATTTATTTTTTGTGCACAATCACTTGGATATGCGTCAAAATCTTGTGTTTATTTGTGATAATCTCAGCCCTGTATTATTATTGTCTAACCTGTATTTTGACTGACATTTGACAAATTGCTTTGTTTCTTTTTTTGATAAAAGCGTCTCATTTATTGAATTTATTATTATTAACGTCTATTTATATCTAAATATGTAGCCTAAATGTAATAATAATAGCCAAATTATTATTATTAGGCCTATTATTTGTGTTTATAACTTTAAATGAGTTCACTTAAGACAGGAATGTTAATCATAAAACAATTTATGAATGTTTTATTTTTATAGGCCTATAACTTTGTGTTTGTGTTATATTTTTTTTGTATGTGAAGTCCTTTTAAAAACAATGCATCCTGCATCTAAACAGGAGGCCTGGTTGAATCATGCGGCACACTCTGGAGGACGAGCCACAAATCCGTGAGTACGGATTAGGTTGGGTACGGTTTATTAATCCGTGGGCACGAATTGTTAAACCGGGGGAAAAGTTTAAGAATTCGTGAGTACAGTTTATAAACTGAGGGGATGGATTGCAAAACCCTCGGATTGTTTTTTTTTCCCCCCACAGGTGACTTCCCGGGCTCCGTATTGGAAGTACGCCAGTTTCATTGAGCTGTTAGCTAGTCTCTCCCCATAGAAAAAACACAATAACGGGATGGTTGCCATTTGTTGCCGTGAATCCCACGGAAATGGTATTTAGTTGTATTTTATTTATTTTTTTCTCAAAAACTTGCACTAATTGAGGGATATTGTGGCGTTTTCATTCTGGAAGAAAAGTCATGACTAAAATTTCAGGGAAGTCAGAGTAGGTGCGTTTCCATTACAGATTTATGGAACATTTTTGCATTTTTTTCTAAATATCGATAAAAAAATATTGTGAAATGACGGAGTTTCCATTAACCGATGTTATGCGACTAAAATCATGCCAACGGATGTCGATAGGTTTATAAATCTCGGCCACCGCACTAGACAATATTATTATTAATGGAAGGAGACGTGGTCTCATATCCAAGCATTAATGGCAAGTAAAAACCCTTATCCTGTGAACGGCACATATGAGATGTTTCTCTGTTTCTCCCTCATATCTGCTCCCGAGGTCTTGATTGTGGCATTTCTTTAAAGTTTGTAAGGCATATAGACAGATTAACATGGGGAAAAACATAATAAGACCCCTTTAAAACAGTATTTCATTATTTGGGCTTTAGAAACAAAGACTTCATTTTGTGTCCTGCAAGAGAATACATACAATTTTGGAAAGAGGATGAGTGAATAATGAAGAACTTATATTTCTAGGTGAACTATCTTTATAAATCTAGGCTATAAAACTTGATGACATAATTTTGGCACTTCTGATTGAATCTATAGACCCTTTTTCAGTTGGTAAACATGGTGACGTTTTTATGTGGGCGGCGCTTAGGTGGAGGCAGAACGATCGCTCTGGCCGCTTCACTAACGCTAGTTAGCAAGTATTGTTAGCTTGTTTTTAAACAATGACTGGAGAAAATCCGATTTTATCTTAATGTGTAAGGTCACTCACTGTCCAGGGCCATGATTGTTATTTCCAAAAGTTATTTTTAATGGACAGAACCAGATTGGCTGACCCGTAGCCTTCACACGCTCACTCGATGCATGGACGATGTGACAGGATTAACGTTACCTCGGGTGAGTGGCCTCCCAGATAGCAAACTGCCATTGAATCAACGTGGAAATATGACATCGAAACAACGTTGATCTGACATTGTTTTGCTCATCGAATTAACGTTGAACCAACGTCAGATGCGTCATTCTTTCAAAACTAACGGAAAATCAACTTGAAATCAACGCGTTGTTTCAACGTTATGAAAGCAAACCAATTTTCGATTTCATTTAGCTTTGAAGAATGCCGCGTCTGACGTTGGTTCAACGTTAATTCGATGAGCAAATCAACGTTGTTTCAATGTCATGAGAGACGTCGTTTCCACGTTGATTCAATGTCAGTTTGCTGTCTGGGCTGACTTCTACACCTAACTTACCTTATAGAGAAACTGATTATAAAGAGAGGGCATATAAATCTTTAGATGCCTACAATTAAGCGCTGAATGGTCCTGTACAAGACTTGTGTGTACGATGAGCAGTTCTGCCGAGCCAGCGCCGAGACTACGACAATGTAAACAGTGACATTACGGTGCGATTTTAATCATGTGAATATTTTCTATAAATAAAAGTTCCAGACACAGCATATTCATTTTTCATCAATTCTTGCACCAAACAACACAACAAGATGACATTTAATAATAATAAAAGTAATTTAAGCTCCTTATTATGTAGCCCGAATCTGTGCTGGTTAGCATTGGCCGCCTCCAGTTTTCAGTTTGTTTTGCCTCCAGCTAGCGCCGTGACATAACTGTGACGTCGGCGCAAAAGGGGTCTATTATCTTATGCAAGACCTTTAACCCCTCAATCGCACTACTTCATTGACACTGGATTCATATCTGTTTATTTGATGATTAATGTGATGTTTCTCCTGTCATTGGTTTGTCCTTTAGCACCAGCTGAAGGAGACGCAGAGGTCGTTCCAGCAGAGGATTCAGCAGAGAGAGAAAGATCTTCAGCAGCTGAAAGAGGCTGTGGCGTCTCATAAGGTGAGTCTGGAGAACAAGAGAAGTTAGAGACGTCTCAGTCAGGACTCACTAAAGCTCACTGTGTGATTGTGATGTGTGTAACAGCGCTCTGCACAGACAGCAGTGGAGGACAGCGAGAGGATCTTCACTGAGCTCATCCGCTCCATTGAGAGAAGCCGCTCTGAGGCGACACAGCGGATCAGAGATCAGGAAAAGACTGCAGTGAGTCGAGCTGAAGGACGACTGAAGCGACTGGAACAGGAGATCAATGATCTGAGGAGGAGACACGCTGAGCTGGAGCAGCTTTCACACACACATGATCACATCCAGTTCCTGCAGGTAACAGATCTAGAAGAACAGGAGCATAGTGGACTTGAGCAAGAGACTCAGAGAAACATTTCATGAGAGCAGAATGAGTCGTTGACTGAAGTGTTGATCTGTGTGTTCGGTTATTATATCATCATCAGTCAGAGTCTCATCTGATCTTCTTCTATTGAAAGAGATGCACTTATAAATGCAGTTCAGCTCTGGAAAACTCTGAGGAAACATTTGTTTCCAATCAATATATCTGAAAGATATATTGATCTTCCAAATAAAAAGTTCAAACCTTTTTTTCTAACAATGTGAAATCCATGAATTGATGGCACCAGTTTCACTACTAAAGATCAACAAGAGCCACTCAGACCTGACAGTAGTGCAGGTTATTGATGAAGTGTGAAGGTGATGAGCTTTGATTTCTGTTTTCTGTAGAGTTTCCAGTCTCTCTCACCTCCTCCTGAATCTACAGACATAAATGAAAATCCCTTCAGTTCTTTCTCCTCTTTGGATGCCGTGAGAGAATCTGTCCGTCAGCTGAGAGACAAACTGGAGGATTTCTGCAAAGAGAAGATCTCTGACAGAGGTAAAGTCCTGGAGATTCATCAGCTCTCAGAAATCATCCTCCATCATCTCATATCATGTAGAAGATCATATTAGAAATGTCTTAGGAACGGATGCAGGGATCATTTTCTCTCATGATAATCACACTCTTCATGTCTGTTGATTTCCACAGTCACTTTCACCAACATTGTTCCCAGAACCAGGAACGACTTCCTACAATGTAAGTCACTAAGAAAACCAGCAGAGAAACTCACTGAGTGTATTCATGTTCTTCCTGTAGAAAGAGAAAGAAAACATGACTGAAGAGTTTTATAGTTGATCGTGTAAATTATCGTTTCTCAACGGGGGCGTTCAGAGAACATCAGGGGCCACTGGAAGCAATATCTATCCTGTTGTCAGTAGCAAAAGTGCATCAGAAATGTAACGTAACATCCGCATTCAGTCTCACTGATTCTAATGTAGGCCGTGTGCGACCTGCCAGTTTACACCAATGTGGCCAGAATATAATAGACTATAATAGAATGTCTGTGGTGTCCCAACGACCTCCTAAAGGGGGTTTATGGGACATGATGATGATGACATGATAGCCAGATTAGACGTGTCACACTTCCATAGCAAAGATTATTTACTTAAGTGTTTTCTTCAGCTTTATGTAGCGCAGCTGCCGAACTTACAGTGAAAACAACTTCTGCGTTTAGCACATACTGTAGACACTTTGATTTTACCCCCAATTTTACCCATTGTTCATAATTAACCAGCACAAATTGAAATTATAACAATTGGTAAATCTGATAAATGACAGAGCAATTCATCACATCAAATATACTACTCTTTATTGTAAATTATATTTCAAAATTATAAATATACAAAAATTGCAAATCTATTCAAATCTGACAGATTGCTCCAAACAGTTTGGCAAAAAACAAATCTTTTTGCATTTTCAATGTGTCTAGTCAAAATGGTATAATGATTTATTGTGTGGTCTGGGACATTGTGAACAAATGTACATATTAGAGTATTGTGTTTGTGTGTGTGTGTGTGTGTGTAGGTTACACAAATATCTTTTTTACATCTTTGAGAAATACAAATGCAATGGCAATTATTAATGTATGTGTTGACAGGATATAAAATAATACCCAGAGCACTAAATTATATATATATATATATATATATTATAAATTATATAGAGTATAATATATCATTTAAAATAAAATTAAGAAATACATCTTCATTCCGTCCCATACCGTAACATTTCCCTTATAGTAAGGTAATGTAAGCTAGCCAAACTGAGCCAAAGCTTCTGGCCTGGTTGCAAAGTAGTTGTAGAGTTTTTGCCTGCATCAATAATAATGGATATAATGATTGGCTATTTTTATATTAAATGTTCTAGCCTAAAAATGTTAGACGAGCTTTCTTCCCTTCTCCAACACGACGTGTGTTCGCGCAATGTTGTTGGTTACCTAGTAACGAACGTACGGTGGCTGAGAATGTTCCGTCAACTTCCGTGTGTTTGCGCATCTATGTTGCCTAACGATCTTTAAGCAACGTTAGGCCACTATAGACCACACGGAACAAGCCACACAGACAACGGCCACTAGGCCACATTGAACCGTGCCCACTAAGGGCCACAGACCACTGGCCATTTTTTACATACAGGACAAGGCAACTTTGTGGCACAAGGCCTTTATACCCACACAGAGACAGAACCACTCATAGACAAGGCCCTAGGCCACATAGAGCCAATGCCATAACTGGCCACAAGACCACAGGACAAGGCCACATTAGGCTACATGGTCACAGTAGACCACACTTAACATAGAATAAGGCTGCAAGAGCCGTGATATCATGATATGTCCCCAACTAAGCAAGCCAAAAGCCAAGGCAACAGTGGCAAGGAATCAAAACTCCATCAGGTGATTGAATGGAGAAAAACACCTTGGGAGAACCCAGGCTCAGTCGGGGGCCAGTTCTCCTCTGGCCAACGAAGGAACAGTGATTACAAAACAAATTGGATCGAAACATTAAGAGAATTGTCCATTTCCATCTGTTTGGAAGTCGAAGTAATCAAGTCTGTTTGGAGACGAGATGTTGAGGATCAGTGCCGATGGCTGTCGTTTCAATCAGGCCGGCACTTAAGGATGAGTTGGGATGGGTCCAGACGCAGGTCCACCATAGAGGGTCCCTCGTAGACAAGGCCCGCTGGGCCACAAGGCTGCTAATGCCACACGAATACAAGGCCAACAAGACACAACCACTAGGCCACACAGAACCGTGCCATTACTGGCCATAAGACCAAGGGACAAAGCCACATTTTTGTGTGTAACAGTGGTTGGAGCTATCCAGCATATATATTTTGTTTTTCAGTTTCCAGATCTTGTATTAAATGCATTATATTCAAACAATCCATACACCATATACAATTTCAACCCTGTTTGTCATCTCAACCTGGCAAACTATACCCCAGTTACGCAGTTGCGGAAAGCTCAACCCGAAAGCGAACGGACAGCACCGAACGGCCCCCGCACAAATCTCCTGGATTTTGAAAAACAATTGTTGACAACTATGCTCTCTCTCACACACACACACACACACACACACACACACAAATACACTAAATTAACTTCAGTTCTGAACTTAAGACGTAGTATAAACAATGATTTTCACAGGATATTTGGTAAACTGCACGGAGACACTGCTGATATATTGAACATGAAGAGGTCAGCTATAATAAAAGATCAGACAGATTCATAATTCCTGATTCTGATGTGTTTTCTCTCCATCAGATTCCCATCATTTCACTCTGGATCTGAACACAGCGAATAAACATCTCTGTCTATCTGAGAGGAACAGAGTGATTACTAACACTGGCACAGTTCAGCCGTATCCTGATCATCCTGACAGATTTGATGATGTGTGTCAGGTGTTGTGTAGTGAGAGTGTGTGTGGACGCTGTTACTGGGAGATTGAGTGGAGTGGGATGTTTGGTGTGTATATATCAGTGTCATATAAGAGCATCAGCAGGAAGGGATCGGGTGATGAGTGTGTGTTTGGGTATAATAATCAGTCCTGGAGTTTGGACTGTTCTTTTTCCAATTACTCATTCAGACATAATAATATAGTGACTAAACTCCCTGTAGAGTCAATCACCAGGAGAATAGGAGTGTATGTGGATCACAGTGCAGGAACTCTGTCCTTCTACAGCGTCTCTGACACAATGAACCTCATACACACAGTCCAGACCACATTCACTCAACCACTCTATCCTGGGTTTACTGTTTATCCTGGATCATCAGTGAAACTATGTTGATGAATGAGAACAGACTGTAGAGAGATTCTATCCACATCGTGGATAGACCTAAAACCAATCAGAGCGATGAAGGAGATGACGAATGCAGAGCGGCGGCCGGAGGAGAAACATCTCCGAGTGTTATTCTTTGCTCAGTTTTTAACAAAAAGGAAACGTTCAAATCGCTTATAACAGACGCTATAGCTGAATCAAATGAGTGATATTCGATGGCGGCATCCATCTTTGTAACATATATTTTTTATTTGATTGGTTCAACCGCCCACCACCCACCTGAATTTAATTATTTATTAAAATATATATATATTTTTTTTTTATAAAATATTATTTCAGAACAGTGTGTGTTTGTGAGTCATGATGAGTGACGGTGTGTATTTTCTCAAACTTTATTTGAATTATTACAAATTAAAATTACACAGTCATTCAGTTCTTAGTTTTACATAAATAATTTCTATATGGCTATCAAAATTATCTTTGAATTGAAATTATCACACAGGATTTATTGAAAATGGTTAAAAAAAATTGTTGTAAATTTGATAAATAAAATTTCCAGTTATTAATAAAGGTGAAATATATAAACCCAGATCATCTGATTATACAGTAATCCTTTAATCAGTGAAAGTAGGATCATTATAATACATAATTGCACTGCTTTTAATAAAGTAGGATCATTATAACGCATAATTATTATAATACAGTTTACATTAAATAAAGCTCCTCATGAACAGAACTGAATTATTAGACCTGAGACTCGGACAAAACTGAGATAAGATAAAAACAACAACAAGGATTGACTCGAATCATCATCAGTTAAAGGGATACTCCACTGGTTTTCATGTTAAACTATGTTATTCCCTCAACTAAGACGATTTGATCAATACCTATCTCGTCTCAGTGTGTGCAGTATATCACTCATCGTATCACTCATTTAATCGTTCATTAAATATGTGCCAAAAAGAGAACACCGAACACCTTCTCGTTTTCCCTATTTAAATACAGTTACTCGAGTAGTGTAACTCGACCTAGGCTGGTGACACAAAATAAGACTTTGCGCTTGCTAGTTTGTGGACAATCATGGTTAAAACGTGCATCGTAAAGGGTTGTGATAACAAAGGGAATGTACATAGTGGCGTCATTTTTCACCGAATTCCAACACACCACATACAGCGGAGAGTTAGCTGCTTTGAACAAGAATCCAAAAACACTGTTGAAGAATTGGCATGTTTGCTCCGAGCATTTCACAAATAAGGACTATACCTGCACCGGAACACGCCTAAAGGATGAGGCTACACCGACAATATTCAAATCACGAACACAACAAAGTGGATCATCACCCAATGCTGTAAGTATACTTTTGCATGGTATTTGGTTTTCCTTGAAGTGTCAGTAACCTTCGGTGAGTAACATATCTGTGAAATCAGTGCACTTCTGAGACAGGCAATAAGAAGTGACTGTTTTATTTACATAAGGACTGAACTCAGAAATAAAAATGTAGTATAAGCCTAAAACCGTAGAAGTCCGTAGTATAACGTTATAGTGTCAACAAATCGGATTCTCTGTATCTTGAGACTGCAAGGTTACGTTTACCATGCTAATACATTGACAAATGGAAAGGGGAGGGATATTTTTGTCTCTGGAGAAACACTGACGCTAGTTCTACCATGCTAATTCCATGTCTGACAATTAGCTAACCAAGCTCTCTGCTGTATGTGGTGTGTTGGAAAAGATTAGCACAAACTAAGACGAAGCTTTGCAGTATACTATGCTTCTCCATCCATTTACGCTTCTTTTCGATGGCTGCAACTTCAGTATGGTCTCCCCAGTGGACCAGCACTAAAACCGTCTGGATTGAGTTGAGTAGGGGACATCTCTAGGGTCTTCAAGTGGGCACCTTACACCCTCAGTGTTTCGTTGAC